AGTCCTGCCTGCCAAGAACTCAAATGTAACTGTGATAATGCAACCCTTCCCAGGTATATTGGCAGGTATGTGTGTGATCTCAGAATGCACAGGTGACATAGATAGGATATGACAGCTGGTAATGGTGGATTCATTTACATTGTTTACACTTCTATGACCAGACCTTAAGGGAAGGTCAGTTTTTTAAAAACCAAGTAGTGTCTTCTTAAATCTCCAAATACATGTCAAAAAAGAAGGGTATTTCTGCTTAAACTTTGTTTTTGCTCAGTAATACAGTCAAGTAAGTTTGTTTCCAAGTGACCCATTGAGCTGTGTAAGCATTTTTTGTTTATTTCAAATAAAATATATTTGTATTATTTGTCATTCATATTATCCATCCATACCACACTATCCTCTGTATCAGGTAGTCCAATAGAAATATACCTGTTTTGTTCTAAAATTGTCTTGAGTCTCTCCTTTTTGGTTCATCTCTTCAGCCTTTATTCCCAAGGTAAGATACTCAACTGTATGATCTTATTTGTTGAGAATGTTTAGGGTTTCTGAAATTGGTTCCTATCTTCAACTAATACTCAGTGAACATCCAGAGACAAAACACGGTGGGTTTTTTTTTTTTTTTTTTGAGACAGAGCCTCAAGCTATCCCCCTGGGTAGAGTGCCATGGCATCATAGCTCACAGCAACCTCCAACTCCTGGGCTCAAGTGAGTCTCCTGCCTCAGCCTCCCAAGTAGCTGGGACTACAGGCGCCCGCCACAACGCCCAGCCATTTTTTGGTTGCAGCCATCGTTGTTCAGCGGGCCCGGGATGGGGATTCGAACCCGCCACCTTAGGTGTATGTGGCTGGCGCCTTAGCCGCTTGAGCCACCGGCGCCGAGCCTGTTTTTTTTTTTTTTTAAGGCCAGAGCATTGTCTGTGTAGATCATAACTGCTCTTTACTCAATGGCTACCAATGTGTCAAAGGTTTTGTTTCTAAAGGTCAAAAAGGAAAATCTGGTTATCTTCTTTACTTATTCTGAAAGCCTAAGGTACAGTTGTAGTTATGAGGCATGAAGCAGAAATGAAAGAATCCCTGTACCTTGAACTTGGCAGTATTTCACATTGGCTTAACTCTAAATGCAGCTGCCCTCTCTTTAGCTGGTTTGGTTATAGAGTTGTGGAAGAGGCTTTTATCCTGATTCCCTGGGGGAGAACCAGAAGGAGTTTGTGTGCTTCACTCACATCCATTTCAAACCTCCCACCTTTTCAAGGACATTTAGCTGTCTTTCATTCTACTTGTAATACAAATAGATTTCACATATTTTCACCTTTAACTTATTAACTCTGCCATCCTGCCCCTGGGCTATCCCATTGATTACCTTAGCTCAGAGAGACTTTTTAAAAAGACTTAATCTCATGACTATCTAAAGCCCTTGGTTATATGTATACCTGGGTGGAAGTGAACCTTCCTTGCCAAGGTTCTGTACCCACCCAGACTTCTTAACATCCCTCCCGCAGAATATTTGCTTGAATTGTGTCTGTTTTATCAGATGCTACTGAAATCAGCATATGGTATCCTAGGACAAAGGTTTCCAAGCCAGATGGGATAGGAATTTTTTGTGAGGCCTCACTCCTATATTTGAGTTTGAAATGAGTACTGCCAAAGACTCATCTGAGCCTCAGTGGTTGAACTTCTGTTGGTTGCCTAGTTCCAGTGCCTGTTCTTTATTTTATAATCTAGAATTTTGATGCTGTTCTCATTGAGGTTCATGAGTGCTTGGCACAAATTGGCACATTCCCAACTCAAAGACTGAGAATATCTGAATGCCAATTTACAAATGTACAATTTCATAAAGAACTATGAAATAGGGCAGCACCTGTGGCTCAAAGGAGTAGGGTTCCTGCCTCATATACTGAGGTGGCGGGTTCAAACCCAGCCCCAGCCAAAAAAGAAAAAAACTATCAAATATCAAATTAGATACTCATGAACACCTTCTACTTTTTCTGCTATCTAGTATGTGGAAAATCAAAGAAAGGAAGGTTGGTAAATACAGGGTAGGGGAAAACTGGATGATCTTATAGTTTAAATAGAGCTACCTTAAGTCCTCCTCTAACAGATAAGATATACATAAATTTGTAGAGTTAGTATCAGCTCTTTGAGGACAGAAACCAGTCTCACACCTCTTCAAATCCAAGATATCAAAAAGAATACTGTTATGTATAACGATACACAGTTGATTTTCATTCAGGTTAGTTAGGTTCTGTAAAGTCACTTGGAACCTGAATTAGTGAATACTCTGAAGCCTATCTAACAGTTTTCTTTGTAAAGCTTTGTGCATAAGAATACTAAACTGTACTTTAACACTGCACTTGGGGGCCATTTTAAGCTGTGAAATCAGCAAAAAGTATAATAACACAAAAATCTTGACACTGAATAGATCCCAAAAGGGGCAGTTGCTCATAATGTGAAACAAAGAGGCAAAGCATCACTGTTGTTTAGCTGGGAACATGCTCATGGGGCAACTCTTAATTTTTTGCTGTACCGTGTATGGCCATGAATGACCACAAAATTGCTGCAAGTATTAATTTGGGGGCTACAAATAAATTATGTGAACAGGTGAATTAGCAAATATAAAATTTGCAAATAAGGAGGTTCAACTGTACTGCCACAGCCTCTCGTCTTTCATTATTTCAGTTATCTTGGATATGGGTTTATTCCAGTACTGCTACTGGCCAAAGTTAAATTTCAAACTGCCTTCAATACTGTTTGGACTCACACTGAAATCAACTTTATAACTTTTGAGTTAGATGCTTTTTTTTTTTTTTTTTT